GTTAGGTGTCTTAGCTTTGTCCTATTTTAGAACTGCACCGGAAAAGAGGTCAGATCGTTTCGGTGGCCTAAGTGGTTAGAGCAACCACCTCGGGTGCGAGATGTTGCAGGTTTTAATCATACAAAATGTTTATAACAATGGTACTAATAGCTATCTCGCTTGGCACTTGGCATTAAGAGATTAGTGTTAGACATCACTATAAACTGCCACACCGTAGACATCGTAGTGATATGACTAAAATTGTTAAAGCTACGTTCAGCACACATACACACACACACACAATTCTAACATTAGATCTACTGTTTTCAGAAATATATATACAACTTTTTTAAGACTTGATATAGTATGATCATTTTATTATGCACTGTATGACATGCTCTATTCTTTGCTCTCATTCTAGAGCCAACACAAGCTTTGTCCTATTTTGACACTGCAAGGAGTCACAAAAAATATCGAACATTTGATCTACCGTTGTCAGAAAGGAAAATAACAAACAAGCACGCAGCTTTTTAAGGATGACTCTAGAATGACCGGTCTTTTTATGCACTGTATGACGCGACCTGTTCTGCGCTCTCATTCAAGCAAAAATGAGTTCAGAAAACCTTAGCACTGTATGCGCTGTTTTAGTTAGATCAGTTTAGACTGCCGAAAGAACAAGGTGGCTTCTGATTGCTGTAACATTGTAGTCCCAAGAAGTGTGCTGCAAACATGACATCTCTTCTATTTGGGAGTGGATATAAACAACTGTTACTGCAATCATTCTACAATAAGTATAATGCTACCCTTTTATGAAACTGGTGAATGAACACAACTGTCCATGAACATGTCTCCAATTTTGCTTTGTTTTTAAGACATTTAGTTTAGAAACTTGTCACTGATTCTCTCATTACATTTCGATTTTAAATCAAATATATGTGCATGCGCAACTTGTGTCAGATCATCACAATTTAATGCTTTCAGTTTTAAATGGGTCTGTACAGGTGTGTTGCAAATATGATGACGTAAAATAGACATCACAGGATGAGAAAGATACTTTTCTGTGCATTTTTAAATCTTGAAAACTGAATCTAAAACAAAAGGCTGTCGTTTACCTCCAGAAATTGCCCTCAGATGAATCTGTTGCAGACAAAACGTGATCCTTTCAACAAATATGCCTGCTTTGAAAAGTAGTGAAAAATTATCCGTCGAAACGAACTGCAGAAAACATAAATGAATGAAACCGCAACCATCTAAGCCTGTCCGGGTTTAGCATGTAGTATTAGTCTGAAATATTAAGTAAATTACGTGAACAATTGCTGTGTAATACGAAGCTGCTGTCTATACGTCTGTCAACGGAAATAAATAGTGATAATTTTAGTGTATTTGCAAGCGGTGCGTTAATTGACAACATAACTGAACAATAACCACATATTATACATGAAAGTCCTTGTCTATACTGCACGGAAGATGCGTGCATTGCAAACATAGAAAGGAATGGAGTGGGAATGATCATTATATGTCGTCTTATAATATGTGGCATTTTACATGTCTTTGGCTCTAAATAATATTAGACATTTTACTATTACTAAATATTTTTATATTCATTTCGAATATTTTGATTTCTTCGGATAATCACAAACATATTCGGAAAAATTACACAATATAATATTTGTTTAGAACAAGTGGATGTCTTAGACCAAACGATTGAAATGTTGCAGACTGGTACAGTATGGTTTAGCAATATATTGTTTTATTATTTCAGACATACATCGATGCTACTGTTGGGGAGCATTGATTTCGCAGTTTACAATTATGTCTAATGCATATTGGGATTCACATTCGTGTTACAAAATATAAAAAGTAGGATAGTGTAAAGATTGTAATAACACGTGTACATTTTTAAAATAAATTCTATTGTAGGATACTTACGATAGAATATTTCTAGAAGACTTTAGAGATGTATCTCATTTATTTTCTTGTTCCTGATATTTATATGAAAGTGCGAGCATATTACTTACCAATAACCCATGCACCAATGTTGCAACTAAAACACATATTCTTTATTAAAAAAAAAAACAATGCACTATATTTCATAGAGAACATTGTCATCCATTTTGCATTCAGTATAACGGAAATAAAAATGGCATAATCAGATTAATATTTACGATACTGCTCCATAGCTAGAGATATCCTGATATATTAAGCAATGCTTGTTGTTATTACTGGATCTCACTTTCATCCATCTTTTGTCCTCCTTTAGGAGATTATAAACTTAGGAAATGTATACAGACACGAGAATGTCAATAAAAAAAAACATATTTACATATATAAATCACAAAATCGTACACATAATTATACAATCACACATTGAAATTGCATATTTGTGCATATATAAATAGGAACACATTTTGTATGTCGAATTCTGGTTGCATTTTTTACCTTAAATGGATCGTTCTTATATTCTCTGGCTCAACACAATATTTGAGGTCACGATACAATTATCAAATTTGAGAACTAGTAGAGATATTACATCAAAAGATATGAAAAGTAATAAAGTGTCTAATCCAAGCTGCGCAGTCAGGTCATCCGTGTGGTAAGCCATTAGGATAATTATACAGCGACTAATCAGAGCTGTGCAGTCAGGTCATCCGTGCGGTAATCCAGCAGGATAATTTTGAGTTCATTTATTGTCGTTGTTCTTTAGTTAATATTAAAATGTAATAAGCTAACAAACATTCCAATTAGTTACACAATTCATGTAGGCTTCCTGAAGAAAATATAGCAGCTGATATCAAAATTTATGTAGACTTCAGGGTCATTCTGTCCACAAGTGCTGAACAATTTTCGGTCCTATGTGTGAGTATGGAGAGAGACAGACAGACAGACAGATAGCATTTTCTCGGTAAATGACAAGTACAATCAAGGTACTTTTATTTATTTACTACACACGAGCTTTTTCGGTGGACGAGTTAAATCAAAATGAAGATTTTTGCTTGTTCTACACGTTCGAAAAATACAGACATTGCAAACTGTAAATGATTTAGAGTAATATTTCACATTCAGATTGGTAACTACAACGCAATTTCTTTTATTATATACTTTGATTTGAAGATATCATCATGTTATTGAGTAAGTGAAAGACAATTTTTAATCCGATGACAACCATCATAGTCGGGTTTCTTCATATTGTAAACGAAAGTTAGGTGTGATGACCTTCAAACTACTACTGTCAAAATCGATACGCTTCATTGTCTATCCATGTGTGACCAACATATGAGGTTATAGAGAGAAAGAACAAAGCAAATTTAAGTTATGTTAACGAATCCATCTTGGCTAACTACGGACGGACACGAACTATCACAATATACCCATACCTTTGGTCGGGGGATAAAAGTATATAGTGAACTAAGAAACAATCTGAACATAGTGTATGTATCCATCTACATTTATATCGTTTTTGACTATTCAAATTTAATTTCGAAGTTTTGTCTAATGAATAATTTAGTATGTATAACTAACACAAAGTGCTTGAATTCCATTATATTACTATCAAATACCTAATAACAAAAAACAGAGAGAGATCTCACCATCATCATTCTGCACAAATTGCTTATGTAGTTTTAAAATTAATTCCAATCAAGCTGTTCATAACGCTTACATTGGATAAATTTCACTCACGACTAACCGAAATCATACAAGATCTGATTGGTCCCTCACGACTCATCAAAATCGTGTTAGTTCTGAGTGGTCCCTGATGATAATCCAAAATCGTATAAGATTCGATTACTCCCTGATGACTCTCCAAACTCGTACAAGATCTGAGTCTTCAACTGACTGCAAATCGAATGATGTAAGGATGACTTAACATTGTAAGGAAATACGTATCCTAGAGAATCTTCAGCAGGAAACCAAATTGACCATCACCATGTGCTGTTTATCTCGGGAAACTCCAAAACTCATCTGCTCGAGGTAGAGCAACATTATTCTCTTACATATACGTCTGCTTTAACATATTACAAGAAATTGTTCTACAAAAAGTATCAAGCAGCTGGAGTATTTTTATCTGGTGGTCTAATAAAGTAAGTAAATATAATCAACGAATGCACAACTCGCATTCAGCCATGACAAGTCAGCTCTGAAGATAGATGTGCATTGTATAGAAATGCAATACTTCATACTCAGTGTAAATCGATTACAATGTCCAAACTAAATGGGAAATGGGCATCCATTATATTAAATCCAAGGGATTGTCTATTTAGAGTACATATTTTCTTCTGATTGCAAACAGAAAAACACTTTTTGTTTTAGTGTTAAACGATAAGAAAGCGATTCAAAGGCTTTCTAAGTTTCACTGCATTGATATTTAACAGGATGACAATATTTTCAATGATATTTGTATTATAGATTGTGGAAAATATTTTTTCGTTCTGTTTTGTTATTGATGTGTATTTCGTGAAGAAACTAACTACACAATCAGTTCCTAATAAACATTTGATATGTCTTCACTTGCAACCTCAACACGTTCTTTATAACCGGCTATTATACATTTAGTCACTCTACTTCCCGGAAAACGATGGCTGGCAAATATGTATACAGAAACAATTTCAACTGAAGGGGCAAAATTAGCCGTCACTATTAGCGCAATAATTGCTTTTAGGTCATGTGGTGGAGACAAAACAAGCTGTTTGTTGCTTCATACAAATATCCCTTTCTTAAAAGTTAACGACAAACACTCCACAGAAATAAATTTAGGAGGAAACAGAGATGAGCGAAATTATGAAGTACGTGCGTGATTTTCATTATTAACGGTTCTTTAATTTTTCAGTCATATCGCTACGATGCCTACAGTGTGGCAATTTATAGTAATGTTAAGCACTGAGGCATCGTGCTGCATTAATGTAGCATGATCTCCTACCCAATCACATTATCCTGACACCAGGCCGACCAGTCCTAACACTAACCTCTTAATGCTGAGCGCCTAGAGAGGAAGCCGCTAGTACCATTTTTATTAGTCTTTAGTATGACTCGGCCTGGGTTTGAACCCGCAGCCTCGCGCATCTGAGGCGGACGCTTTAATCACTAGGCCACCGGAACGATCATGCTGGGAGAATATATTTACACTTCGATCATTGATATCAGTATCACTATTATTCAAAATCTTAAAATCAATTACTAATTTAGTCTTCACCGTATACTATTACGACTCTATCGTCTTTAAGTAGTAGAAAAGAGTGACGAACAACAAGCTTTGTAAAATTCAACAAATAATTTATCTGCCTAGAATACAAAATGACAATGAAAATAAACATATGGTATTGCGAATAAAATCCAAAAAGATCCTAAAATTACTAACACGCGTTTTAAAGAATAAAATTTTGAATAGCCTTTAGTGGTATTTCAAATAGGATGGTGTTGATGTGCCTGTAGTGGCCTGTAGCTTCTAATGTATGAATGTACCATTGACCTGAATTGTATTTATGTGCCAACAATCTTTAGTTTAATCACAGTAATGTGGACAATAAACTTTATTTTGGACAAGATATTGTACAAAATACAATTTTACATAACCCATAGCTGATAATAAATACTAAAAAACTAACAAACAATGCAAACAAATTCTACATAAAAATAGAGGGAAAATGTGACTGGAAACAGAACTAGATTCAAAACAATAAATAAAAAATTTTGCACTATATACTAATAGAACTGCAGGAAATTTAGACAACAAAAATTATTTTCTTTAATTGATTTTAGCATTTTTTATTAAACCATATTTTTTAAATTTAAAGAACTTTTGAAGGGAATTGTTTCAACACTCATAAAATTATAAAACTTCTTGAAAAAAATAAAGAAAATTATGAAAATATGTGCATACCAGTAATTAACAGAGTTTAGCCTAGAGAAAAATAAAGAAAAGGCCTCAGTGAAAAAGATTGTACCATAGCCACAAAACTGCAAGCTATTAAGCCACAAGTAATTAAATATATCATTTGCATCCATCTTGGAGGACACTTCAACAATTATGTGCATATTTGCACCCAAAAAAGTAATAACCTAATTCTCTTTGCCAAGTCAAGGGATAAAAAAATATAAAACAATACTAAAAAAGTAATATGGGATTTGAACCTAGAACTCCTACACGAGAGGTGCCCATAACTAAAGCAGGAAAGTGACAAAATGGAAGATCAGATTTCCTGCTCAAAATATTATTATTAACTATATTTAGTGCTGTAAAAAATATTTTTTTAGAATTCCCTAGAGTAAATTATCAAAAAATTGTTTATGTTTCACAATTAACTAATTCGTAAAAAAGATGCTAACATTAGAATCAAATGATACATTTAACAATCCATGGGAGATCAATTCACACTTTCTATTTTTATGTTCTTTCTCTGTAAGTAAAATAATTTGGTACATTATAAGCAAAATTATACGGTAGCATTGAACATTTTTGCAAAGCCTTTTCACTTCAATGATGTGTTTAAGACACATAATTTCTGAAATTTAACATGAAAGAAACAATATTTTATATATGCAAAAGAAAATATCTTTTTCACACATCAAATAGTATTTCAGATATAGTGTATGTAAAATACTTTCTCCAATATGCAAAATTACTTTTTTTTACACATGTTCAATAATTTTAATTATTTCACACGTACTAAAGCATTTCTCATTGGTATAATATTACCTAACTTATTGCTAAACTGGCCTACCATATTCAGATATACAATGCACTGCTGACAACTTGAAAATAACCAACTTTCTTCAATTTACTTTGATTTTGCACAAGATCAAAAACTGTAACCACTTTTTCAGTTGTACAGCATAGTGACGCTGTTATTTTATGGCTATTATCTTCAAAAATATTTTCTTGTTTCACAGTTTGTTCGTAAGTGTCCTCTAATTATTTTTGGGACAAATTACAGGTTGTCACATCATCTAAATTCATAAATTGTCATAATGACCTCTGAATGGCAGCATTTGCACACAAAACATCACGCACAAAACTGCATCAACGACAGCTGAATAAGTTTACAAACGTCCAATGCACACACCAGTTTCCAAGAAGGAGTGGAAGTGTCATCATAGGAAAGGCAGCGTCCTCAAAATTGCGCAGTTTATCCAATGCGACAGAGATGCATATTCGTGACAAGACTTGCCCCCGAAACAAATGAATCTGACATTTCCTCACATATTGAGCTTTACTCTGGAAATAAACCAAACCAGGTGGAGAAACTACAAACGAAATTTAATACATATGCCAGCTTAAAAATCATATGTGATAACCCTGTGCACAATGTGATGATGAACGTAGATGCGTGGCCAAGAAATGCATTAGTTAGAGACTACTATCAAAGTGGGAGTTGATATCGACAATTTGGAATCAAACATACATAATGGACACTTTACGCATTGCTTTTTACAACTGTCATTCTTTAACAAGCAATATACAAAATGTAAGAACTTTGTGTGGTATTTCAGATATTTGCTTCTTACAAGAATTGTGGCTTCTCGACAGTGATTTAGACTGCCTCTCCTCCGTACATGACGAGTTCTATGGATCAGGGGTATCGCCGATAGAATCTTCTAAAGACAATCATACAGGCAGACCTTATGGAGGTCTCGGGGTACTATACTGTAGAACTCTTGCAAGTATTATACAAGTACAACACTTCGATGATCCAAGATTAATAGGTATTACTATCAAAACACGGGACTCGTCCCTGCTTTTTGTCAATATCTATTTACCATGTGATCTAGCGGAAACTTTTGGGGAATTTGTAGATTATTTGGGCAAAATTAATTCTATTGTAGAAAATGCTAATACAATAATTGCTTATGTAGTTGGAGATTGGAATGCTAATACGCTCAAATCCACTCCCTTTGGAGATGAACGTCGCCATACTGTGACGAATATGGTTATATGATATTGGACTTAAAACTAATACTTGACAACACAAAACGTTTTACTTACATCAGTGATTCACACAATACTGTGTCTTGGTTGGATCATTGTGTCTCTACACAATCTGCTCATTCTGCTATAAGTGATATGAGAATAATACACACCCTAGTAGGGTCCGACCATCGCCCATTTTAAAGACTATCAAGACTGATCTACTTCCTAGATTGGTTTCTTGCCACAATGAGCTCTCAAACTTGAAATACAACATTAATTGATCAGACCTTACTTCTGAAGAAAAACTGAATTATAATCAGACATCTGCATCTTTATTAAACAAGACTGATATCCCACGTGGTATTGCGATCTGTAATGACCATGGGTGCACTAATCAGGTACATGTGAAAACAGATAAATGATCTATACGCTGATGTAGTAAAAGCTCTATCGAAATCCAGTAATAGATTTACTAGAAAAACCAAACGTGGCCACCGGGTTATACTAGGCTGAAATGACTGTGTCAAAAAACTACACGACTTTGCACGAAATGTTTACCTAATGTGGCGTGATAACGGTAAACCTCGTCATGGACAATTAAGTAATCGAATGCGCCAAAAAAGAGCACATTTTAAGTATGCTCTTAGATTATGCGAGAATGACGAAGTAAAACAGAGCAGACTCACTAGCACAAAAATTTGAAAATGTCGACCAACGTGAATTCTGGAAACAAGTTAAACAAAGTATTACGACAACTTCCAATAAACTACCAATCTGCATTGATGGGTACCATGGTCAAAATAATATATGCAATATGTGGAAAAATCATGTTGAAGACTTACTCAATAGTGTCAAAAACGAATCGAATAAGAAGCGTGTTACTTCAGCATTGAATGCCCTTTCTCCTCATATTGATGTAATCACATTATCTAAGATCCAAAATGTAATAAGACAAAAAGGTGGTAAATGTCCAGGATCAGATTTTTTATATGTGCAACATTTTAAATATTCAAATACTAGACTTCATGGGCTATTAATGGTTTTATTTAATTGTATGTTTGTGCATAACTTTGTACCAGATGATTTCACAACAGTTACAATTATACCACTACTAAAAAGCAAACTTGGTAATCTAGCGGACAAAAATAACTACAGACCTATAACTCTTACGACTATTATCTCAAAACTATTTGAATGCATCATACTACAAAAATGCAACGTCATTATCTCCAATAATCAGTTTGGATTTAAAAAGCAGCATTCTACAGATTTAGGTCTATATGCCTTTAAGGAAACCGTCAGCTATTCTGTGGAATATGGCAGCCCAGTATTTGCATGCTTTTTAGACGCTAATAAGGCATTTGATATGGTCAATCATTGGACACTCTTTAAAAAGTTGCTGTAAATTAAAATACCTGTATACATTGTTCATACTTTAGTCAACTGGTATGGCAAACAGTTGTAGTACGTGCGATGGGAAAGTGTAATATCCAGCGCTTTCCATGTAACCAATGGAGTGAGGCATGAAGGTATTTTTTCCCCTATATTATTTAATATTTACATAGACTAATTAAATTGTATATTGGGCTACTGTAACGTATGGTTATGTCTGCCACCAAATGGGCTGTTTCTTAACAATTTTAGCATTGTTGATATGTCACTGATAAGTCCGTCTGTCGCAGGTTTAAGAAAATTATTGAAGATATGTGATCAATATGTATGAGAGAATGAATATCTATACACAAAAATCAGTATGCATGGTCTTTCAGCCAACTTCTTTTAAATTACCATCACCTCCCTCTGTACATCTTAACGGCAATGCTCTTACGTATGTCGACAGTTATATGTATTTGGGCCATATTTTGAAATCCAATCAGTCAGATAATGAAGATACAACGAGACATTATCAATATTTGTGTACTCGAACAATTATGCTTCTACGCAAATTTAAGCCTTGTTCATTGAGTACCAAAATTAGATTATTCAAATCTTATTGCTGCACTATGTATTATGCTCCACTGTGGACAAACTTTAGTAAAAATGTGAAAAGAAAACTAGTAATTAGTTATAATAATAGTATTCGCTTTCTATTGGGTCTTCCTAGATGGAACAGTACTTCCAACATGTTTGTAAATGTATTCAGTTTTGAGGAAGTAATGAGAAAGTATGTATTTTCAATGATAACAAGACT